TGCTCTGGGAGGAACGGTTGGAGAAAGGGCTGGAGGAAGGCAGCATGTCTGGCCTTGCAGTAATAGGCCTTGGGTTACTGCTGGTAACCCTGTCTTCCTCTTGTGGGATTAGAGGAGGTCAGAACATGTGGCCTCCTTGCCGTTTTTGCAGTTACTCATAGATTGTTATGATCTGCACAATCAAATGCTTTTGCATAGTCAATAAAACACACTGCATTGGCCACACAGAACTCACAGATTATGGGGTTTACTAGGGAAGCAACAGGCTACAATTCAAATTTTAGGAACACCCTCAGGATACAGTTCTTTTGTCAGGACAGCCTCCCCTCTGCTGTGCCCTTAGATATGCCTCTCTGGCCTCTGCCTCTGTGGGCCAGGTAAGCCTGCTGCTTTGTCTCACGGCTTTTGGTTCCATTGCCACCATCTGTCAGCTGGGCATCTCTGTCTCAGCTGGGCGTCTCTCTCTCACCAGTGCATCTTTCTCAGCCAGCAGTCAGATTCTTTCTGCCTCTAGGAGGGCTCATTTTGAGCCTGGCAGTGTGGCCAAACCAAACAATCCCAGCATCAGAGTTCTACACACCTGAGAGAGAGCAAACTTTCCCAGAAGATTACTTTGTCCTGCTCCAACAGAAAAATCCCAGGTGGATGACTTTAACAATCAAGAGTTTAAATTTCATGGTCCCACCCAGTAATCTGGTGGGAGTTACAAAGACTATGGCTAGAAAAGCCATACTGTGTAATTTACTACACCACAGTATGTGTGTATATATATGTGTGTGCACACATGTATAACAAAACAAGGAAAAAATAAAACAATTACAATCCTCATTTCTGCAACTGGTCATGTGATCTTAGCTGGTATTTAAAACTCTCATCTTCTACCATCTATTCCATATTCCCTTTGCCCTCAGCAAGCACCTTATCTAGTTGTAGTTCTTTGCGTGATAGGTGACCCAAACCTTCGTTCCTGAAGGTTCTGAGCCATTAGTAGTCCTGTTGGGAATTGGGTTGTTGTAATTCTCCATTGATTTTAATCACAGGGTGTGGTAGTATTAAGAGACATCGTAGCGGATCTCCTGTATTCCAGACATACTCTGTTTTACCTCTGTTATGTAATATCAGTCTGATTTCCACTTGGTAATCACACCAGCCAACCCAGTAACTCCCTTCCTTGCCTGTTGATCCAGAGATGTGAGGAGCCCAAAGTGACCTGGTGACAGTCTTAACTTCCAGTTCAATGGAATCAGTGTTGTATCTCCTGGTGAGACATTTCTCCCTTTAGAACTAAGACCTGAAGACCTGCATGGGACCATAGGGTCACGTAGATAGGAAGCAAAAATTCTGTGAGTGGTTCACTAGGGGTAACAGTGGTGCCACTACCATTTTCACGCCTGGACCCATGAATCCTGGCAGTGGGAGAAACTACAACATATATTGAATGATGCTTTAGAGCATAGACAGCCTTCTGGAGAACATTGCCCCAACCCACCTTGCTGGTGGCATTGCTGTTTCTTTTTCTTTTTTTTATTGTGATTTGGGTGAAGATTTACAGAGCAAATTCACTTTCCATACAGCAGTTCACATACACTTTGTCTCATGACATTGACCACAGT